GACTGAAAGCCTTTACAGATGCGAGTTTGGCAGACTGCAATAGCTCAATTACAACAGAGGGATATCTTGTAAGGTTTTATTGTGATACAGCTGCTTAGAAGTCAAGAAATCAGAATTATATCATGATCTTAACCTGCGAAGCCGAATAGGTGGCGATGTGTAATGCAAGCCAAGGGTTGATAGGACTGGAACACTTGATAAGTTTTATATTGTTTTGCATTCTATTGCCCGCGGACCTGTAGTTTGACAACAAGTCCGCTGGAGCAAGCACCGAGATAGATGGTGGTAGGCGACTGAGTCACATGACTGAAATCAAAGCCTACTATGATAAGGAATGTGTGATTAGTGGAAAAATAACTGTTCGATGGATTCCGTCAAACGAGCGATTGGCAGATTTTTTTACAAAACCTCTGCCGTTTGAATTGGATGAAAAACCAAAGAAGAAAATTTGGAATTTGAATGAATAACTTTGTGCATGGTAAGGGTAGTTGACCCAGTACTCGATAAGGACCCAGTTGTCGATAATTCTATAAAAAACCAATTAATAAAAAAAAAAGACATTTGGGAGGCTTAAAAAAATTTTTTTACTAAGAATTATGATTAGGCTATACAGGCTGCACACAAGAATTCAAATTACGTTACGTTATTTAAATTGGAATGCTTTAATTCGTGGACATGCCTCTGTTCAGACGATCGGAGCGCATTCTCGTAATATTGCCGCTTAGCACTTTGTTACATTCTCTACGCTGGTTTATTTTATTAACGTTATGTTTATAAGAGTGTAGTAAGCTCAAGGCTGTAAATCGTGTGAAAATGGGCAAGGAAAAAAAGGTAAGATATAAAATAAAAAACGTAATATTTATATAATTCAATTATCGGCTACTGGGTATCTGAATTTACTCGTGGAGTAGTAGTCGATAATGTTAATGCAATTGCAATTTAGCGTTTATTTTCTTAAAATCAAGCAGTATTTTGTTATCATAACTTTAGTTTTATAACTTAATTATTATTTTATTAACAATTGTGTAAATAGTTATTGTATGAAAAAAAACGTAACATAACCTAACTTGAATATGAAGCAGTTTCTGCATCTAATATTTTTTTTTATTTGCAGAGCAAGAAATCCCGTCGTGTGTCACCTTATTCAAAAAATGATTTACAAAATGCGCTTGATGCTGTCAAAACGGGAACAGTGATAAATGAAGCAAGTAGGATCCACAAGGTACCTTATGCAACGCTGTATTCTAGAGTGAAAGGTATTTATCCTTTGGAAACTAAAAAAGGACCCAGTAGTATTTTAAGTCCAAAAGAAGAAAAGGACATAGTGAACTGGATTTTCTCGATGAGCAAGTGTGGATTTCCAGTGACTAAGCAGCATTTACTGGACTGTGTTCAAATAATTGTGAAAAACACAAAACGAATCAAACCGTTCACCTATGGTAGGCCATCAAAACACTGGTATGCAGCTTTCTTGGGAAGAAATCCTGAATTATCAGAAAAATTTTGTCAAAATTTTACCAAGGCAAGATCGAATGTAAGCCAAAAATCCTTCAGAGATTGGTATGCAGAGGTAGGGAACTACTTGGAGAAAAAAAATTTTTTAAATGTGGAACCCAATCGAATATTTAATTGTGATGAATCTGCCTTCATGCTCTGCCCAAAAACTGATAAAGTTTTGACTGAAAGAGGAAATAAGAATGTTTATAACGTTTGTAAGAATGATAAGGAATGTTACACGGCATTGATTGGAGGAAGTGCTGCAGGACAATTAATCCCACCCACGATTATTTACAACTATGAACGAATACCCAAAGTGATTGCTGAGCATTTTCTCAGTGATTTCATCCTTGGAAAGTCCGAATCTGGCTGGATGACTAGTGAAACTTTTAATTCATATGTAGTGAATCAATTCTATCCATGGTGTGTAAGGAACAATATACAGTTTCCAGTTATTTTGTACGTAGATGGCCACAGCTCTCACTTGACAAAAGCATTGAGTGACTTTTGTTGTGACCATCAAATAGAGTTGATTGGCGTGGTACCAAATGCAACACATCTGCATCAACCCATGGATGTAGGACTTTTTGGACCACTTAAAACAGCCTATAAAAAAGAAGTAAGAAATTGGAGATTGGAAAACAATGAACAGCACCCTACCAAAGTTTTCTTTCCAAGTGTGTTGAAAAAAGAATTTAAATAAAATTTTTCAAAATTCCTTTTCCAAGTGTGGGCTTCATCCTTTCAATGAAAGAAGTATAGATTTTTCAAGATTAATCAGTGGTCCCCCAGTAACAGATCAGCCTGAAGAAGAGAACCAGGACTCTAATGTTCATCCACATGCATCACTGGATAAACTCAAAATTCTTCAATCTTTTATTAAACCAGACATTTTAAATTTATTTAAAGAAAACAAAAGCCAAGAGTGGACCGGTGCTATTGAATACAAAGAATTATTTAAAGTTTGGTCCATGTGTGATGATGATGTGGTTTATGAAAAGAATAATGCAGTCTACTTTTAACTTGAGTAAAGATACTAGCTGTACTAGTTCTGAAGAAAATAATTCTGTCGAACAACTAACATCCACAGTTGTCGAAGAAATCTTTGTTTGTGAAGGGGATCAGCTAAATATTTCTAATGCAGTTGTTGAAGAACTAGTAAACAATGGTTCAGTAGTATGTGGTTCTCCTGTTGAACTTGATTTTGAACAAGTTTCATCCTTAAGACAAAAGGACTTGATAAAAACTGATGACGTATCCAAAAGTCTCCCTGAAGATGAAAGAAGTGCCAGTCCACGAAGCAACGTTAATACTAATGAAACTTTAGATACAAATAGAATCTGTGAGAAGGTATAAAAATTTTTTTTTTAAATCACGTAATTACGAATTCATGTACTTAATTTTTATTATGAATCCAAGACTAGGATTTTTGTATTTAATACATTCGTATTTTATATTTTACTTTAACAGGATATTTCAAAGCATCATGTATCATCACACGTGTCGAACTGTGATAATGGTATTGCTCTAGATTTAAGTATATTTAAAAAGCAGGATAAGCTTGTCAATAATAATATTAAAAACAATTTATTTATACTTGGAAAACCTCCTCCTGAGACTGATACATTTTTAATGTCACCCATCGATGATCAAGGTTTTTTTAATTTAGGTGTATCAAATATAATTATAATGTTATTTGGTTTTTATTATAAAGTTTTGTTTTGTTGCAGTGCCTACAAATCATTCCTTAAATCTTGGGTGTGTACAAGTCTCTCAGAAATGTGTTGAAAGCAATATTTGTGGTACGTCTTTTAAAAAACAAAAAAACGAATAAGATGTTGAAATTTTAGTAAGAGTATTCCTGTTTTTGAATATCAATTTTCCAGGTACAACATCTCAAAAGGCTTTCTCTAGCAACGGATTAACTGATTATCTTTTTTACCCTCAAAAATTGAAAGACAAACAAAATATCAAGAAAAAAAAAGAAAAATTGCCCGCTACAGCCACTAGTACTGAGTGGAGAGCCTACCACGACCTCAAAGCAAAACAAAAATTAGAAGATGAAGCTAATGAAATTAAACGAAAAGAAATAAGGGAGGAACAAATGATAGTTAAAAAAGAAAATGATCAGAGTTTAAAAAAATTGAGGGAACAAAAAATTGATCATCAAAAAAGCATGACTGAATTGAAACTTAAAATTCAAAAGAACAAGGCAGAACTCAAATTAGTTCAAATTAGTTTACAAAAGGACAACTGTGATGACTCCCTAACGGAAGTTATGAAGAACTTGGAACATACAATTGAAATTGATTTACAACAACAGAAATATTTTAAAAATAAAATTACTGGAATTAATTTTGAGATACAGCAGTTAAAACCCAAAAAAGAAAACGAAGATTTTCCTAGTAACGAAAAATAATTTTTTTTAATTTGTTTCTATCGCATGTAAAAATCTCTCAGTAATGTTCAGTAATTTTCTTTATTTAAAACAAATTTTCTACGTGATTGTTACTAAAAATCCACTTACATATATGTACTGTTTAAAAGTTCAAACTAATTTTAACAAATAAATTACTAAAAACTATAATAGTGCAGGATTAAATTCAAGTTATTTAATTCTAACCTATAATTCTATCACTTATCGACTACTGGGTCCGTTGCTATCGACTACTGCTCCAAGCCACTCCATCACTATCGGCTACTGGGTCCGTCATTATTTCATTAAAATTAGTTTTTTCTACATAATATATATTGAAAAAAAAAATTGTTTTTACGTTATTCCACTCTTACATATTCATATTATATAATAAAAAAATCAGTTAACTCTTTTTTTTTAATTACACTGTTTATTAAGCTCATTCGTCTTAGGCTATCGAGTACTGGGTCAACTACCCTTAGTAGAAAGTGGATTTAAGATAGTAAAGGTAATAAATTGAGAATAGCTAGATAGTGACAATAGGCATGAAAATGAATGCTGCTTACTGTGTATTTTAGGTTGTCACAACACACTGAATGGAGAAGTCGGACTGGTCTCCACCCTCAGCTGTTGACTCATTTAGATTATTTTTTTGAACTAAATATTTATATGTCATTGTATTTCAAATTACTTTTAAACTGAATTCAGATGTAAATGTTAGGGAATGTTAGACATGTGTTTGGCGCTCGTAGCTGAATTTTAGTGTAGATGCAGTAGCAAGGAGTTAAGACGCTGCGGCGCTGCACTGCAGCATCAAAATTTTATAGTTTGGTTTATTACTGCATAGTCAGTCAGTCAGTACAGACTCTAGCATTCGTTCTTTCTGTCTATTAATTTGATTTTGCTTTCTTTTAGTTACTGTTTTATTCTGTAAAATAAAAAGACAGTTAAGATAGTATGGACCTAAGATTGTATAAATAAACGTGTTTTATGTTAAAATTAGAGTTACTGTGTCAAATTTTTATTTGCATATCCATGCATTAATTTTGTACTACTAACATTAACTAAATTTGAAAATTTGTTTCAGTATCTGACGATGGAAGTCAACTTGAAATAGAAGAATGGGAAACTCAACAAATAAGAAAAGGTGTTACTGGAGCTCAGGTATTACGTAGCTGTATTAAATTCTATTAAGTCTTTTTACATCAATTAACTAATTAATTTGTAGATAGTGGCAGTGCAACAGGATTCAATGTTCCCGTACAATTCAATAAATCTTACGTGTAATCAAGAACCTGTTGTAAATTCAGTTATATCAAATACTATACCAGTAGCACCACCACCACCCATGATACAACCTCCAGATCCTACAAAGTGCATTCCTGTAAGTGCCGAAGAAATATTGGAGAAAATGCGTGAGAGGTAATTGTAATGGTCATTACACAACCTTGTTTTGTTGGCTAGTTCTTGACATTGTTGCATGGATAAAGTTTTTCAGATAACTCAAAGATTTTTATCACAAAGTTACAAATCAAAATATTTTAGGCTAGTTAACTTGCGAGAAATTCATCGCCGCCACGAGTTAAATTTTAATACTGTCATAGAAGATTTGGCACAAAGCAAAATTGAACTGAAAGAAGGAGAAAATAGAGAACCTGAACTAGCTCAACGCTACAGATATTACCAAGAGCTACGTGGATACATCATTGACTTTGTTGAGTGTCTTAACGAGAAAGTAAGTTTACAAATTGGATAGTAAGAAAAGTAACAATAATGATGAAAACAACATTATTTCAAATTAAACTATATTTTTATTAACTTAAAAATTTCTTCCAAGCAGTTTTAGTAATTTTAGTTTATTCAAATATAACATTAATATTTATTTATGGGTATCTTGAAATATAATTATAATCTATCTTCTAGATGCCTACGCTACTAGTTGAAATATATGTTATTTGTTTAAGAGCTTAGATTAAAACAAAAATTTATAAGAAAATATAATCGAAATCATTTTATTCTCTTTTCTAATCATATTCTTTACAATACACTTCTTTACTAATCTTCATTTGTGTATTGAAATCTCAGTTACGGCTAAAATAATATAACTGTGTATTTAAGCTTTGATATCATAAAGTAAAAGTTACTGAGATTTTAAGTATCATTTTTAAAACTTGTTAAACAGTAACCTAACAGTTCTTCTTTATTTTCATCATTAGCTACCCATAATTCGCTCAATGGAATCTCAATGGCTAGAACTATTTGGAAATAGATCCAGAGAATTAAGAGAAAGACGAAGGCAGGATACAAGAGATCAGGCTGATGAAATCACTAGTGCTGGAAGTCAGTTCCATAATTTTTTTTTCCTTCAACAAACTAAATTAAACAAATTTTTTTTTATATTCTTTGCCATTCAGTTTATTTTTAGTTTAAAATAATTTTTTAGCGAAGTTTTTTTAACAGTAGTATTAACCAAATAAATTTTCAAATAAAGGAGCTCAAAG